TTTCTGGAAAACTAGTTTTTCAGAAACCGGTTAGGAAAGACCTATGGGGGAAAAACGGCCATCATATTCGGAATCAGCATGATCGACTACCTATAGTCCACTGGGTTTCGACTCGAAAGCGATTTGATAGTTGGGTATGTTCCCTCGTTAGCTCGACAAGCGCTATCAACTGTACATATTAGAATTTTATTTTGGAGAAAAAAGTTGTTTAGCTGGGAAAATGAATCTCTAAAGGCCTAATGGTAGGTCTCATTGTCATATTCGACATCAGCGTAACATCAGCGTAATCGAGTTATAAAGATTTTACGCAGAGATACAATGAGATACTAAATAATTTTCAGAATTGAAACCTTGTTAGCTAGTAGAAATTGCTTCTTTCGTCATTATTATGTAAAATGGTTTATTTAAGGTGACAATAGCGGTAGATAAAATCGTCTACCTATATTTCTGGCTATAAGGGATTCACTTCATTATAACCTTTGATGAGAATCATATTAGAGTGCTGTTTGGAAGATACAGCTTTTGTTTTCATAAAATTCGGATAGAAATTGTTTTGCGTGCAAACTGCGGTAATACACATGCGACTCTGATCACGGATATCTCATTACAAATCTAAAGAAACTTTATTTTCTGTGAGAAGATAAATTTGTGAAATTTTTTTGTTTTATCCAGCTCAACTAATGTCATGTGCCAATCAAACCGGTTTTTTCGATGGGACTGATTAAGATATTGAATTGAAAACAATATAAGGTCTTTAGAAACAGTATGGAATAAAATGGGTATTAAGCTATAAAGACGCATTTATAGCGATCTTAATTGATACTTGAACGCTTACAACGAATGATACTTAGGCAGTTTAAGCGACAATTTAACAATTGGTACACACCTAAAGCGACATTTTTTTAGTTTAGATAAAGACCAACTTACGTCGATTTTCCACAGATTTTCTTAAATTTTCTCTTATCCATTTTGCATCAGCTATCAGTTCTACTGAGTCTCGCACAAACGATTTAGCCCATATAGCTCCATCATATTCTGATATTTGACAACGGCCAGTATCAATCACATAATCACCATTCAAATCACCAATGATGTGCAAATCAATAATACCTAATATAAATGGATAATCCTATTACTAATAAATAAATTCTATGTTACTTACTTGATATATCTACATTTAATCGTTTTCCAACTCTTGCTTTAGCTTGATTTTCGATTGCTCTTGCTAAACCGACGACATTTTTTTTCTGCACATTTTGCACTGTATTTATAAAAGCTTGTGTTGCAATCATTATTGATTCTTGACAACCAATTAAAATTTTACATGTCGGTTTAACAACAGCATCTAATTTTTCTGCTAATCTTACATAATAATCATAGGCACTATTCCAATCTTTTTTCATATCATATGGCTGAAATTGTTGACGTTCATCTTCAAACAGGCCTTCATCATCAAATTTTTTTTTTAACTGTAAAGTTTCTTTAACAAGCGTATTATAATGAGCTTGTTTTTGATCATAAAAATAATCATCCATTAATAGAACAAAATCAGCACCGGAAAATGCGTTATCAGTACCATCGGCGGAAGTTGTTCGTTCTATTGAATTGAATTGTTGTTTAGTTGTCAAAGATTTTTGCTGATCTGACGAATAAACTTGAATAACAGAAAATTGATCACATGCTAAATGGAAGAGTAGCAAATTCTTAGATTTTTCTTTGATATTTGTAAGTAGATCTAAATGTTGTATTCAAATGAAAAAGAATGAAAGTACCTAAATCTTGAACTTCCATCGCTAAACCTTCTAACAGACATTGTTTTTTTGAATCATTTGTTGTTAAACGAATGAATAAATCTTTGTTTGTGAATACTTTTGACGATAGTATATCGGGAAATAAATAATAGACCGATGGATGATCAGCACCACTTATACATAAATTATAGGGAGATAAATTTTGTTCAATTAACTCTTTTTCTTCCAAATCGTATTTATAACGTTCATAATTTTCATCGGCTATTCTCTTGAATAGACTACTTGAGTCTGACATAAAATTATCCAATAGTGAGCCATAGTAGCATTGGGCGTATTCTTGAAAATCATCAGCACCACCTAAGAGAGACACGAAAAACAAATAATATCTTGGGAAAGGATAATTCCACAGAGGCCCATCAAATACTGGACTGAAAGCCGAGAAGATCTGACTAGCCTGACCAAAAGTATATAAAAGCTCCAACTTACCTCTCAACAGAAAAATCATCTTTCATTTTTAAGTTATCTATACTCATTACAGAACGAGAAGGCTTTCCAAAATATATAAGATCCTCCAGTCAATTTTTTTTCTAAAACGTAGAAGAAATCCAATTTTTGAATGAAAATATACAACTTTGTATGCTCTTCCTATCTATTAGCAGCGTGAGAACGATTGAAAGTACTGGGTAGAGATGGACTTTTAAACTGACACCGCTAGTAAACGGGTGCCATAACGTGCACATAGCCAAATCTCACCAATTTACAGACCATATGGTAATGGACAAATCTGTGTCAAAGTACTCTGAAATCTTGTGACCCTGAAGTCTTGCTTAAAAAAAGCTTATATGCATCAGAAACAAGAGTTATCGTACCTACGACGAGTCCTTTTCCACCACGATCAATTAGTTCACGCCATATTAAAGGTGATGTTCGTTTCTTTAACGTCCATTTATTTTTTTCACATATTTCATTTAGCCAATTATCCCAGTTGTCGGATTCAATAGGCCATTTATGAACGGTAAAATTGGGTAAGTTCGTTTGGAGGAAATCTCCCAATATTTCTGATTTGGCAAATAGAGGACAGTTTGCTTTTCCTTTAAAAACAAAAGAATTTCAAAACACAAACACTAAAAAGTTCCTGCACATACAGTTGAAAGCTAGAAAAACACGCGTGAAAAGGCCTCATCAGTTCTTTTCACGAATTACATGACCATTTAACAAGATCCTTGATCGTACTAAACCCTAATATAGCGAGAACAGCTATTCTTACCTGCGATTACAAACTTTGCCATTTTACTGTAAATGAACCGCGCAACAGCCTTTAGGTAAATAAACTTTTGTTCATAGAGACCAAAACATATGAAAATAAACAGGAAAAGTTAATCGACTCTTTTGTCACGGTTCAACCTTGCATTGTTAGTCTTTTATGTTGTTATATTATTTTTCCTTCAACAAAGGCGCAACGAGCTTAGTGATCAGACTACCGGATATGTGATTGGCTGATATTAACTATTGTTATAGTTGTCATGGAAACGAACAT